AGTGCTCTGACTGGGAATTACACTGTGACCTCCTGGCCACTGAGCGGTGCTGGGGGGGCCGAGGCTCCGCCTAAGCCCGTCTCCCTGGCTGATTTCAGGCGGCCTCGGCAGCCGGCTCGGAACCGGAACCGGAACCGGAACCGGGTGACCCCAACCAGCGTGCAGCCACCAGCCCCTCTGACCACCTCTGTGAGGCTGGTGAGTGAGCAGCCGCGTCCCCGAGCCCTCGCCTCCGCCTTCTGCTGCCTGCCCGGGAGGAGGACTCAGCCCTGGGCCGGAGGGAGGACTCAGCCCCTGGCCCAGAGGGAGGACTCAGCCCCTGGCCCGGAGGGAGGACTCAGCCCCTGGCCCGGAGGGAGGACTCAGCCCCTGGCCCGGAGGGAGGGAGGACTCAGCCCCTGGCCCGGAGGGAGGGAGGACTCAGCACCTGGCCCGGAGGGAGGGAGGACTCAGCACCTGGCCCGGAGGGAGGGAGGACTCAGCCCTGGCTCTGAGGGAGGGAGGACTCAGCCCTGGCTCTGAGGGAGGGAGGACTCAGCACCTGGCCCTGAGGGAGGGAGGACTCAGCCCCTGGCCCTGAGGGAGGGAGGACTCAGCACCTGGCCCTGAGGGAGGGAGGACTCAGCCCCTGGCCCTGAGGGAGGGAGGACTCAGCACCTGGCCCTGAGGGAGGGAGGGCTCAGCACCTGGCCCTGAGGGAGGGAGGACTCAGCCCCTGGCCCTGAGGGAGGGAGGACTCAGCCCTGGCTCTGAGGGAGGGAGGACTCAGCCCTGGCCCGGAGGGAGGACTCAGCCCTGGCCCGGAGGGAGGGAGGACTCAGCCCCTGGCCCAGAGGGAGGGAGGACTCAGCCCTGGCCCTGAGGGAGGACTCAGCCCTGGCCCGGAGGGAGGGAGGACTCAGCCCCTGGCCCTGAGCTGCAGGCGCCGGCCCTGGTGGGTGGGGGGAGCCTGGTGGGCAGGCCTCTCCCAGCACTTACCCGGCTGCACCCGCTCACCGCCCTCCCCCTCCGCTGACAGAGGGACGCTGCTTACTCAGCCGGAAGTGGGGGTGTGCCCAGGCCCCATGCTCCCCAGGAACCCCCTGTCAGGAGCCCGTCCCGTCGGGCAGTGATGTCAGGGCAGTGATGGGCACCCAGGCCCACCCAGGCTCATTCCGTCTCCGAACCAGCCCCCAGAGCAGTTGGGAGCCCCAGCTTCCAGGGCCTGCTCTGCCCGCCCTCCAGCCGCGCCCCCTTCTGGCCAGTCAAGGCCAGAACCCGGGCCCTGGAGCCTGGTCACACCCTGCGGCCCCCACGCCCGGACCCCACTGCACCCAGACCGGGGACCACATGGTCAGTGAGCCTGCCTCTTTGTAGGGGCCGACCACACCCCTGCTCCCCTCACCCTCCCCCCCCACCCAGCCCCCCCCCCCCCCCCCCCCCCCGCCTCCTGTCAGCCAGGAGCATCCTGGGGCTCCCCAGCTCAGGGACTGAACCCCCAGCCTCCGACCACTCACCTAACCCCCCCACACACACACACGCACACGCACACGCCATGCACACGCTGCACCCTCCGCGCACACACGTCTGAGCGGGCACACCCACAGGCGTGATGGGGGCAGCCGGTCCCACACCAGCTGGAGGGGCCGCGTGCGAGGCGTGGCTCTGGCTCCAGTGCAGCCTGGCCTGGCGGGCGCGGGGCTGCGGGCTCCAGGACGGCCTGGCCTGGCGGGCGCGGGGCTGCGGGCTCCAGGACGGCCTGGCCTGGCGGGCGCGGGGCTGCGGGCTCCAGGGCGGCCTGGCCTGGCGGGCGCGGGGCTGCGGGCTCCAGTGCGGCCTGGCCTGGCGGGCGCGGGGCTGCGGGCTCGGGGCTGCGGGCTCCAGGGCGGCCTGGCCTGGCGGGCGCGGGACTGCGGGCTCGGGGCTGCGGGCTCTGGCGGGCGCGGGGCTGCGGGCTCCAGGGTGGCCTGGCCTGGCGGGCGCGGGGCTGCGGGCTCCAGGGCGGCCTGGCCTGGCGGGCGCGGGGCTGCGGGCTCCAGGGTGGCCTGGCCTGGCGGGCGCGGGGCTGCGGGCTCCAGGGTGGCCTGGCCTGGCGGGCGCGGGGCTGCGGGCTCCAGGGCGGCCTGGCCTGGCGGGCGCGGGGCTGCGGGCTCCTGCGGGCGTGGCCAGGCTGCCCCAGGAGCTGCAGAGCGCCCCGGGTGTCGGCGTGGGGAAGATGCAGGCTCCAGTGTGCACGCCCGCATCTCTCTTAGCCGACCTGCAGGATGTCCATAAAGGCCCAGGGGTGAGGCAGGTCCCGGTTCCTGGGACACATGTAGCCGAGGCTCAGTCCAGAACATTCCAAGGCGACAGGAGGCCAGGGTTGGCGCTGTGCGAGGGGAGGGGCCTGGCCTCGGGGACCAGGAGGGGTCGGTGCCAGGCCCCATCTCACCTCTGTGCCTCCCCCTCCTCCCCTCTGTGCCTCCCCTCTGTGCCTCCCCTCTGTGCCTCCCCCTTCTCCCCTCTGTGCCTCCCCTCTGTGCCTCCCCCTCCTCCCCTCTGTGCCTCCCCGCATCAGGCCACTACCTCACGGAGGACTGCTATATGGGCCAGGCCAGGATGTGCTGTCCGTGCCCCCCCGGGACCTTCCTGAGCCACCCCAACAAGGAAGCGTCCTGCAGGCCGTGCACCCCGTGCAGGAAAGGTAAGCGGGCGCCGTCAGGCGTGGGGTCTGTGTCGGGTAGAGCACCCCACCCCCTGGACCTGGCGGGCGTCGCCCACAGGGAGATGGGGGGCAGGGGCGCTGGCTGCGGAGCGCCATGGGGGCAGGTGGGCCGAGCGAGGGGGCAAAGCGGCCATGGAGAGGACGAGGCGGCGCACAGGACCCGTGTCCAGGATGCAGGCGCCCTCCCGTCGGTGCGGAAGGTGGAAGTGAGCTAAAATAACAGCAGCAGCACGATGATGACGACAGAACATAAGTGAAGTGCGGAGACAAAGGCACGGCAGCCAGGGCGAGGCCTGAGCGATGGGCGGGCGCACCAGGAGCCCTGGGGCCCTTGGGTGCGGGGCCCAGTGCGTGTGTCCTTCGTGCTCCGGGTCAGGGCACGGTCCAGGCTGCTGTACACTCCCCAGCGGGGAGCGTGCGGGAGGCAGCCGGTCCGGTCCGTGCTTCTGACTCTCTCCGTCTCCCGGGCAATCAGTGCGGACAGCCCTGGTCGGTCGGGCTCGGTGGGTGAGGCTCAGCGGGGACGGAGGGGGCGGGCTTGTTGGGTTGTGGGTGGCGGCCTCTCATCACTGTGTCTCTCTCACACATCGCCCTTCCTCTCTGTCTCTCCCTTCCCTTCCACTCTCTCTAAAAAGAAAACAGCGGGGCCTGGCCCCATGGCTCAGTGGTTGAGCATCAACCAGTGAGCCAGGAGGTCATGGTTCCTCCCGGTCAGGGCAGTTGCCCAGGTTTCCGATCCCGGGTAGGGGGCAGCAGGAGGCAGCCAGTGTATGATTCTCTGTCCTCATTGATATTTCCCTCTCCCGTCCTCGCTGAAATCAATAAGGATATATATATATATATATATATATATATATATATATATATATATATTTATATAAAGAGTAATATGCAAATTAACCATCACTGCACTCCACAAAGCCACGCCCACCAGACAGTCAGAGTGAGTATGCAAATAAACCCCAACCAAGATGGCTACAGCCACAGAGAGCAAAAGGGGGGCATTTCCTCGGCAACGGAAGAAGCCAAGCTTTCCGCCTGCCCTTGCCGCCTAGGCCTCCACTCAAGGCTCCGCAGTTTCAGTTGTAGAAGGTAAACAAATCTGCCTCGGAGCAAGCAGGGGGCTTGGCTCCGGATCCAGGCCACAAAGTTTCAATTGTAGAAAGTAAATAAATTCCAGATACCAGGGCCTCCACTTGGGTTGTCGGGGGGCGTGGCTGGCCTGCAAACCACACAGGCTCCTTGCTCAGGCTGCCCCACGCCCCAAGGGAACCCCACCCTGATCCAGGACACCCTTCAGGGCAAACCAGCTGGCCCCCACCCATGCCCCAGGCCTCTATCCTATCTAATAAAAGAGTAATATGCAGATTAACCATCATTCCAACACACAATATGTCTGCCCCCATGTGGTCAAAGATCCTGCCCCTATGTGGACACAAGATGGCCACCATAAGATGGCCTGCAGGGGAGGGCAGTTAGGGGTGGCCAGGCCGGCAGAGGAGGGAAGTTGGGGGCAAACAGGCTGGCAGGGGAGCAGTTAGACATCAATCAAGCTGGCATGGGAGTGGTTAGGGGGTGATCAGGCTGGCAGGCGAGCAGTTGGGAGCCAGCAGTCCTGGATTGTGGGAGGGATGTCTGACTGCCCATTTAGGCCCGATAACACTGGGATCAGGCCCAAACGGGCAGTCGGACATCCCTTGAGGGGGCCCAGATTGGAGAGGGTGCAGGCTGGGCTGAGGGACCATACCCTCCCACCCCCATGCACCAATTTCTCACGTGATTTTGAGGTGCATGTGGGGGGCGGGGACTTGACTCGGCCCCGTGGTGAGCCCCAGATTCTGACAGCAGGAAGGTTTTCATATATGTTTTACTAGTTTTCTTTAATCTCTGACACTTCTATTTTAGAGAAAGGGCAAATACCAATATTTAATTATTTCCTCTAATTAATCCCCTTCTAAAGTGCACGGATTTACCGGCCTCAGTAAACATGTAATTAAGAGAGAAAGAGAGGGTCTCTGAGGAGTGGAGAGGTGGCCTCTCACATCCCAGAGCCGGGGCCGCCGTGGGGGAGGCGGCGGGGACTCCTGCCCGACGGGAGACGGGGATCGGGGCGCACGGGGAGAAACACGGTGCAGTGGGTGGCGTTCCCACGGGCCCACGCCACCCCCGCCCGCCGCCCGCCTCCGCGGACCGGGCCGCTCTCCGTGTGTCAGCCGGCCGTGTGCGCCGTGTCCACTGGCAGGGAAGGCGGGTAAAGCGACACAGCGTCCCCCACGGAGACCAGCCCCGGTGCCTGAGCCGCCTTCCCTGCCCGCAGATCAGGAGATGGTGCGTGACTGCACCCCGACACGGGACCGGCAGTGCCAGTGCAAGCCCGGGGAGTTCTACTGCGCCTCGGGGCGCTGCCCGGAGACCTGCTACCGCTGCACCAGGTACCGGCCCGCCCGGGCCTGGCAGACCTGCCGACCCCTGGCCTGGCTGTGTCCCCCGTCCACCCCCGGGGCCACCGCCGCTCCCCCCAAAGCCCCCGGGGAGCCGGGCACAGAGGCCAAAGCTCAGGGCCCCCGCGGGGAGGGCGGGGCTGTGGGGGAGCAGAGGCCCAGGAGGGAGGCAGGTGGGAGCCATGGACGGTTCGGAGGGGCAGCTCCGGGCAGGGGAAGGGCCTGCTGGGGAGACGTGACAGCGGGAAAGCTGCTAGCAGAATGGCTCCCTTTTTAAAATAAATGGGTTTTGCTGAAACTGGTTTGGCTCAGTGGTAGAGCGTCGGTCTGCGGACTGAAAGGTCCCTGGTTCGATTCCGGTCAAGGGCATGTACCTTGGTTGTGGGCACATCTTCAGTAGGGGGTGTGCAGGAGGCAGCTGGTTGATGTTTCTCTCTCATCAACGTTTCTAGCTCTCTATCCCTCTCCCCTCCTCTCTGTAAAAATCAATAAAATATATTATAAAAAGAATAGAATAAAAAATAAGTAAATGGGTTTTAATTGATGTCAGAGAGGAAGGGAGAGGGAGAGAGAAATGTCAATGATGAGAGAGAATCATGGCCGGCTGCCTCCTGCGCCCTGCCGGGGAGGGAGCCTGCATCCCGGGCCTGTGCCCTCCCGGGAGCCACACCGTGACCTCCAGGTCCTAGGCCGACGCGCAGCCCTGAGCCCGGCCAGTGGGCAGAGCAGCGCACTTTTGTGAGGCGCGTTGTAGGCCCTTCAGTGCGACTCAGACCAAGTAGAGCCGTGGCCCTGGGACCCGGCAAGTCCAAAGCAGGGGCCGCCTGCAGGTCCGGTTCGATCAGGTCCGGCTTCTCTCCGCTCTCTCGCCTGCCTGGTTTCCATGGGCCTCCTCTCGGGGCTGCTCCCTCTCGGTTTGGTCCTCAGAGCCACACCCCGGGTGCCCCAACTCCCCGCTGTGGGCCCCCGGGGAGGGGCCGGCTGGGCGGGCAGTGATGCTGGGTCCTTCGCTCCTTCCTCTCAGCTGTCCCGGCGCCACCCTGCGTAACTGCACCGCCACGACGGACACCGTGTGCGCCCCGGGAGCCCCGGCACAGCCAGGTGAGCGGACTCTTCCAGGGGCAGCCGCCTCTGCACAGGGCCCCGTGCAGCTCTGCCCCGGAGGACTGAGGCTGCCGGTGGGGAGTGGCGTGCGTGGCTTTATTTGTCTACCTATTTTTTAATTTAATCTTTATTGTTCACATTATTACAGTTGTTCCTCCCTTTTCCCCCCATAGCTCCCCTCCACCCGGTTCCCTCTCCACCCTCTGCCCTTACCTCCCCACACTGTCCTCAGCCACAGGTGCACAGTTTTCGTCCAGTCTCTCCCGCACCCACACCCTTTCCCCTGAGAATTATCAGTCCACTCCCATTCTATGCAGCTGATTCTATTATATTCACCAGTTTATTCTGTTCATCAGACCTTAAATTCACTTGATTTTTAGATTCACTCGTTGATAGATAGGCATTTATTGTTTATAATTTTTACCTATATCTTTCTTCTTCCTCTTCTTAAAGAATGCCTTTCAGCATCCTATATAATAAAACGGTAACGTGAAAATTGACTGTTACTCCAACACACAAAATGGCTGCCCGCATGTGGACACAGGATGGCCACCACAAGATGGCAAGCAGGAGAGGGCAGTTGGGAGGGACCAAGCCTGCAAAGGAGGGCATTTGGGGGTGACCAGGCCTTCAGGGAATGGCAGTTGGGGGGAGACTCAGGCCCACAGGGGAGGGCAGTTAGGGGTGACCAGGCCTTCAAAGGAGGGCAGTTAGGGGTAAACAGGCTGGCAGGGGAGCAGTTAGGCATCAATCAGGCTGGCAGGGAGTGGTTAGGTGTCGATTAAGCTGGCAGGGGAACAGCTCGGGGGTGATCAGGCTGACAGGCAGAAGCAGTTAGGGGCAAACAGGAAGGCAGGCTGGCGAGCAGTTGGCAGCCAGTAGTCCTGGATTGTGAGAGGGATGTCCAACTGCCCATTTAGGCCTGATGCTACTGGGATCTGGCCTCAGTGGTTAGTCAGACATCCCTTGAGGGGTTTGGTGGTGATGAACTCCTTTAGCTTTTTCTTATCTGTGAAGTTCTTTATCTGACATTCCATTCTGAATGATAGCTTTTCGGGGTAGAGTAATCTTGGTTGTAGACTCTTGCTATTCGTCACTTTGAGTATTTCCTTTGACTCCCTTGTAGCCTGCAGTGAGAAATCAGCTGATAATCATATGGGTGCTCCCTTGTAGGTAATTATCTTTTCTTGCTGCTTGTAAGATTCTCTCTTTGTCTTTTGCTCTTGGCATTTTAATTATGACGTGTCTTGGTATGGTCCTTTTTGGGCTCCCTTTGTTTGGGGTTTTGTGCGCTTCCTGGACTTGTAAGTCTATTTCTTTCACCAGGTGGGGGACGTTTTCAGTATCTTGTTCTCTCTCTTCTTCTGGCACCCCCATAATTTTGATGTTGGAACGCTTGAAGTTGTCCCAGAGGCTTCTTACACTATCTTCAACTTTTTGGATTCTTCTTTTTCCTGGCTCTGCTTGGTGCTGTAATGTCACCATGGGGAAACCAGGCCCCCGAGCGGTCTCAACAGCTGGCTTCTGGGCTGGCCCTGCCCTGTCCCTCGGGCTGCCGTGGCTGGGCCTTCCCGCAGTCACCATGGGGTTCTCTCCCTCGTCCCACCTTCGGGCGTGGCTGCCTCACCAGAGCCCCACCCTGGACACGGGCCTTTGCCCCTCTCCTGGGAGGGCGGCCCCTGCAGGGGTGTGACCCTCCATGAGGGACACCTTACCTGCTACAGCGCTCTCTGTGCCCCCAGGACCTTCAGCCTGTTCCCTCGCCTTGGTGGTGTCTGTGGCGACCCTTGTCATCGTCGTCGTCGCCTTCATCGTCGCCGTCGCCGTCGCCATCGCCTGTTGGCGGAGAGGAGGTAAGCGGAGGAGAGCGCTCGGAGGAGCGGGCAGCAGCCTGGCCGGAGCCCGGCGGGTTCCTGGCCGGCCTTTCCCTTAGAATGCCGCTGCGCCCACCTTCTTACCCGCTTTTACTCGTTTTTACTGAGTCAGAGCGGAAGGGAGCGGGGGAGCGGGGGAGCGGGAGAGTAACACCCGCGAGGAGAGAGAGTCACGGACCGGCTGCCTCCTGCACGCCCCCACGGGGATGGAGCCCGCAACCCGGGCCTGTGCCCTGTCTGGGAATTGAACCCTGACCTCCTGGGTCATAGGTCAACCCTCAGCCCCTGGGCCGCACCGGCCGGGCTGGGTTCACTCTCTGACTCGGGGCCCGTGCCGTGTGCTGGTGCCGCTGACCGGGTGCCGGCTAAGACCTCGGCCACGCGGCAGCTGCAGACGGCGGGCATGGGGGGCGCATGGGGGGAGGCTGGGAGAGCCCGGGCCGTGGGGGCGGGGAGGGCTCCGAGGACACGCACGTCCGTGTGCCCACAGGGGTGCCGCTGCCCCAGTGGCTGTGCCGTTTCACCAAACGTAAGTACTTTCCCTGCGGAGGACGCTCGGCCTGGCCTCTCGGAAGCCCGTGTCCTGCTGGTCCCGTCCCCCCCCTCCCGCTCCCCGCCGCCCCCCCTCCACGGTAGCTCATTCTCCAGTGTGACGGGGCTGGGGCGGGCCTGCATGTGCCACATTCCCTCCGGCTGCACCAGCTCAGACAGCTCCCGGGGGTGCCCAGGCGGCAGGCTCTGGGGTGGGCGGAGGCCGAGGCCGGGACCACTTGCCTGGGGGCGGAGGGGAGGCCCGGACGCGATGGTGTCACCGGTGGTGGAGGTCCAGCCCACCGCCTCTGGCGGGGTCAGGGCGGGCCGGGCCTCAGTGACCCACGGCATCGGCGGCAGCGCCTGTGCCTTCACCTGCTTCTCTCCCGTCTGGTTTTCAGCAGCGTCGGTGGAGCCCGGCAGCCACGGCCACGTGAGTGTCTCCCTGGACGTCCCGGCAGCCTGGAGGGCAGGGGAGACAGCGGGCGGGGAGGCCGCCGGCCCGCCTGGTGCCCAGTGCAGCTTTCGGGGGCGTCGAGCCCCGAATGTGGGCCGGACGGAGGGGCCCGCACGCCCGGGCGGCCGTGTGGAGACGGAGGCGCAGGGCCGAGGGCTTCTTACCGGTCTCCCGGGCTCTCAGACAGCAGCCATTGTCGGGACTGGGCCAGCAGCCCACCCTGCGGGGCCTGTGGGGCTGCCTGGAGGCCCTGGGGTCCTCCGGCCCAGCCTGCCGCCCCCGGGGTGTCTGCTCGGCCTCTGCACTCCCCAGCCTCCTCCCCGGTGTCGCTCTGAAGGTCCTCACCGGGACCTCCGCACCCGGCAGGGCCCCTGCAGCGGCAAAGCCCCCATTTCCAAACGAGGCCCCGTCACAGGCCCGGGGCGGGCGCGGGCACGTCTTTCTGCGGTCACCGTTCAGCCCTGTCTTTAAAAAAAGTTTTATGGGTTTCAGGGAGAGGAGGGGAGAAAAACATGGATGATGCCCGGCCAGTATGGGTCAGTGGATAGAGCGTTGGCCTGCAGACTGAAGGGTCCCGGGTTCGATTTTGGTCAAGGGCGCTCAGCCACTGGCCACGCCGGCCGGGCGCCACCTGGTGTTGGGCCCGTGCTGGAACCTGAGCTCATGGGGTGTTTTTCTCTAAAAGGCACAGCCCCTCTCCTCTGACCCTCAGGCCATGTGGCCTGTGCCCCCCCACCTCCCCACACACAGAGTGTCTCGGGGGGCTGTGCCGCGGCTCCTGTCACACAGGAACGGCTTGGTCCTTTAGTCACTTGGCAACATCCATCTCGTCCAGATCCTGAAAACCACGGACCCTGAGAGCGGCCTCCCAGCCCCCAACGCAGAGACCACACAGCTGCTGAGGGAGGCCTCCACCCTGACGCCCGGGGCCCAGACCCGCCCGGGACCCTCAGCCGACCCCGACCCCGACTCCGACCCCGACCCCGACCCTGACGCCGACCCCGACCCTGACCCTGACACTGACCCGGACCCCAACCCTGACACCGACCTGGACCCTGTCCTCGACCCCGACCCTGACCCTGACACTGACCCGGACCCTGACCCTGACACTGACCCGGACCCCGACCCCGACCCTGACACCGACCTGGACCCTGTCCTCGACCCCGACCCTGACACCGACCCTGACCCTGACCCTGACACCGACCTGGACCCTGTCCTCGACCCCGACCCTGACCCTGACCCTGACACTGACCCGGACCCCGACCCCGACCCCGGGGCAGGAGTGGAGCTGCAGGTGGAGGTGGAGGTGGAGGTGGAGGGAGGCGGCCGGGAAGCCCCAGAGCCGGCGCCCCCGTCTCCTGCTGCCGCTGCGCCTGGGGCCCTGACCTGGGCCGAGGCAGCCGCCGGCCTCCGTCCCCCGGAGCAGGTGAGGGGCCTGGGCGGGCGGGCGGGGGGACCGCGATGCACCCCGTCTCTGCTGTCTCGTTCATGCGGCGTCCTCCCTGCCAGCGAGTCTGTCCGTCACCGGGACCCGCCGTGCTGGGCCAGGGCCTCCGTTCCCTCCTTCCACTCAGCCGCCTTCGCCCTTGGGGGTTAGGGCGCCAGGATCTCTGGGGGCAGCAGTCCCACCCCACCTGCTGTCCAGGGACAGGGGCCCAGGAGGGCCCCGCTGCCAGGGCTGACACCTGCCCCCCCCCCCGCCCCGCCCCCGCCCCCGCTGTGCCCCCACAAAGCCGCCAGGCTGTCCTGGGACAATGGCTCTTCTCTCCTCAGGAACATAAATGCCTGTTTGGTGAAGGACACGCCCTGACGGTAAGTCTTCCATCTCCCGTCTCCGGTCTCCGTCTGGCTCTGTGGGGATTGCTGCGCGGGGCTTCTCGGTGTTCTCGGCACTCACTCTCACTTTCACCGATGACCCTGGGGAGATGGGCCTTTTTCCAGGATAAGTTTTGGTCCTAAAGCAGCGGTTCTCCACCTTCCTAAGGCCGCGCCCTTTCACAGCTCCTCATGTGGTGGTGACCCCAGCCATGAAAGTATTTCCGTTGCTACTTCATCACTGTAATGCTGCTACTGTTATGAGTCGTAATGTAAATATCTGTACATTCCGATGGGCTTAGGCCAGTGGTCAGCACACTCGTTAGTCCACAGAGCTAAATCTCAACAGGACGACGATTGAAATTTCTTTTGAGAGCCAAAATTTTTACACTTAAACTATATAGGTAGGTACATTGTTATTAACTTAATTAGGGTACTACTCCTAAGCTGGCCTTTGCCAAAAACTCAAGGGGCCAAAGAGCCGCATGTGGCCTGAGAGCCGCAGTTTGCCGACCACTGTCTTAGGCGACCCACAGGCTGAGAACGGCTGCTGTGGAGCCTCAGACCATCGGAAAACACAGGTATTTACAGTACGATTCGTTAACAGCAGCAGCATCACAGTGATGAAGCAGCAACGGGAATAACTCTATGGCTGGGGTCACCACCACCAGGAGCCGCGCTGAAGGGCCGCGGCATCAGGAAGGCTGAGACCACCGTCCGGAAGGAAGGTGGTGGGCTGTGTGGTGTGAGGATGCATGCGCGTTTCTGAGGAGACCATGCGTGGCTGCCGGGCACACTCTGGGACCTGGCCTGCAGGCCCTCCTGGCTGTGGGCTGCTGTTGCTGGTGCAAGAGGAAGACTGCTTTTTAAAATCCACATTTTTATTGATGTCAGAGAGGGAGGGAGAGGAGGGAGAGAGAGAGAAACATCAGTGATGGGAGAGAATCATGGATCGGCTGCCTCCTGCACGTCCCCCACTGGGAATAGAGCGTACATCCTGGGCACCTGCCCTTGACCGGAATCGAATCCGGGACCCTTCAGTCCACAGGCCGATGGTCTATCCACTGAGCCACACCAGCCGGGCTGCCAGGTGCTTTCTGGAACCCCATCCTCTCGGCAGCTCCGGGAGACCCCCCCCCCCACTTCACAGGTCAAAGTGCAGCAACCCGGAGCCCACGAGGCTGCAGACGCCGTCCAGCCTCCGGTCCCAGCAAGGCTCGCCCTTATCCGTCCCACGGGCCCCGCTCCTCTGGGACTGGAGAGGAAGCCCGGGGCAAACCCGTTCCCCTGTCCCAGGGTGCCGACTCCCAGATCCTGGGTCCCTCTGCCAGGTCATGGGCTGCCGGCTGCGGGCTGGGGGCAGCAGGTGGGGGGCCACCCCAGGTCCTGGCCACACGCGCCTTCTGGAGTGTGAGGCCCATCTTCCTTCTGATTTCCCTTTTCAGCCCCCGATAGGCTCCCTGGTGAACTTGGACCTCAGGCCCCAGGATGGGACCAGAGCTCGTGCTGGCCGGAAGGAAATGGCTGCAGGACCTGTGACCTTCTGTGCCCTGGAACCTGTGGCCGTGCTGTGAGATGCTGCTCGCTGGAAGGCCCGGCCGGGAGGGAGCCAGCCGTTTGTGCTCCCGGCGGCCTGCACACCACCAGAACCATCTCAGATCACTGACCAGCTACCTCCTGCACACCCCCTACCGAGGACTGAGCCCACATGTGACCTTGACCAGTATCGAGCTCAGGATCCTTCAGTCCATAGGCTGGTGCTCTATCCTCTGAGCCATGGTCTGAGACCCTTTTTAAGTGCCTTACTAAGAGGTTCTTTTAGCCGAAGGTTGTGACTTAATACATCCTTCGACACCTGAAGGATGGAGGCGGAGGGGGAGGGGGAGGGGGTGGCGGGGAAGAGATCAACCAGAGACCTCAGTGCACCGAATCCTGCTTTCCCACCAGAAGTGATGTGCACGGAATTCGTCCCTTCCAGCCCCAGAGGACACTCCTATTACAACCTTTTTATATGCAGCTCATGTCTTTTTACAGTTGAAATATAGTAGCAACCATACTCGGGTAAAAACTGCTTTTTGAATTTTAACCCCTCTAGTCTGGCTCCTGCACCTGATTAACACAGGATATTTACCTCAGCTTCCAGGTGGAGACCTGGAGGCTAAGGCAGTTTTCCCTTGCCCGGGGCCAGGCCCACAGGAGATTGATTCCCACTGACTCAGTAACCTTCAGAGATAGAAACTAGATAACCTCTGAGCTCTGCTTCTGTGTTATGGGCCATTGCAAGATAGGGCCACATTCCAATGTCCAGCTGGATGTGACTGGGAACTACCCTGTCCCCAGTCTTTAGAATGTAGTCTTTAGGATTTGGAATTCAGAACAAAGGAAAATTCTTGTGGTTTAGGCTTTTAAAAAGACTGCCTACCCCTGAGACGGCGAGGTCGTGTGGAGTCCACCTGCGTGTGGTGCTCTTGCGGTCCTGGCCAGTTTTTCAATAAATCCTTGCCTGTGTTTTAATCAATCTTCAGCCTCTGGTTGTCTTATTCTGAACCCAGGGTTCAACCCCACAACACAGTTTATAAATAAACACTTTGAAAACAAAAAGGACATAACATGTTGGCGACAATTTAACCAAAAGGAAGGGAAATGTACAGTAAAAAATGTTCCCAGGACCACCCCCGGAGGTGTTAACAGGGACACTCACTCCGTGGCCCATTCTCTCGTTTTCAGGGTGAGAAGCTAATTGTTCACGACGGAGACGGCCAGCATTGAGGTTGCACTGGGCCTGGGTTCTGCTGCCCTGAGGGGGGTCTAGGCTCTTTCCCCGCTAGCTGGGGAGGAGGCAAACCATTTGCTCTGAAGTGTCCTTAGTTGAGGTGAGATGGGATTTTGTTAGGACAGTGGTCAGCAAACTCATTAGCCCACAGAGCCAAATATCAACAGGACGATGATTGAAATTTCTTTGGAGGGCCACATTTTTTAAACTTAAACTTCTTCTAACGCCACTTCTTCAACATAGACTCGCCCAGGCCCTGGTATTTTTGTGGGAGAGCCACACTCAAGGGGTCAAAGAGCCGCATGTGGCTCGCGAGCCGTGGTTTGCTGACCACACTGGCTTAGGTGGCCGCAGCCTGCTTGGCATCTGATCTTCCTAGTGGGCTGCACCGCTGTGTCCCTGTCTGCTCCGTTTCCTGTCCCCTCGTCCTGGCGTTCTGCCCGAGTCTCCGTGCTGTGTCTGTTTCCTCGGTTTCCCAGCGGCCTCGCCTGCAGCCTGGCGCTCCTGCTGGGCACCCATCCCGGTCCGAGGACGCCACTCCAGCCAGCCTAGTCAGAACTACAACTCCCAGAACGCCCCGGGCGGTTGTTTAGTGACGGGGACGCGGGGCGGGACTTCCGGCAGTTGCATCAGCTTCGGGGACGCTGTGGCTGGGCATCGGTCGGGCGCCCGGGATGGCAGGCTCCTCCGCGGATCAGGGTGAGCGGCGCGCGTGGCGCCCCGGCGGCGGGGCCCCGGCCGGCGGGCTGGCCCGGTCCTGGGGCCGGGCGGGGGCCGGGCGGGGCGGGGCGGAGCTCGCCGGCTCCGGGTCCGAGGGCAGCCGCGCCGCCTCCGGCCCCGAGCCCCGGGCGGGCCGGGCGCCGCGGACCCGGGAGGCAGCTCCTGACCGCGCAGCCCCTCCGGCCGCCTGCGGGTCCGCGGCCGCCGGCTCCGGTGCCCCCTCCCGCCCGCGGGTGCCGCCTCCCGGTGCCCCGGGTCCCGCCCGCCTCCACCCGCCGAGCCGGCTGCCTCCCCGGACTCGGACCCGGGGCGGCCGGGCTCAGCCCTGCCGCTGCCTCAGGACCCGCCGCGGGCTGCGGCCCCCGGAGGCCGAGGGCGCTGTCCCGGCGGAAGGGCGCCGCCCGGTTCTCTCGTCTTTTAGAGAAAAGTGTGTTCTTGGTTCATTCCTTGTCCTTGTCAGTTCTCACCCCAGGGTCTTAATCAGTCTTTCCCATTGACTTTTATTTTATTCTTTAAAATACATTTTATTGCTTTTAGAGAGGAAGGGGGAGGAAGAGAGAGGCAGGAACATCAATGAAGAGGGGAATCACCCATCGGCTGCCTCCTGCACGCCCCCTGCTGGGGGTCGAGCTGCAACCCGGGCCTGTGCCCCTGGCCGGGAAGGACCTGGGACCCCTCAGTCCGCAGGCCTGTGCCCCTGGCCGGGAAGGACCTGGGACCCCTCAGTCCGCAGGCCTGTGCCCCTGCCGGGATGGACCTGGGACCCCTCAGTCCGCAGGCCTGTGCCCCTGCCGGGATGGACCTGGGACCCCTCAGTCCGCAGGCCTGTGCCCCTGGCCGGGAAGGAACTGGGACCCCTCAGTCCGCAGGCCCACGCTCCGTCCATTGAGCCAAACCAGCCAGGGTTCATTTTTATTTTGTTTTAATAATTGACCATAATGATGTGTTTCGTTTTGTTTTTGTTTATGTTTTTATTGATTTCAGAGAGGAAGGGGGAGAGAGAGAGAGAGAGAGAGAACATCCATAATGAGAATCACTGATCGGCTGCCTCCTGCACGCTTCCCACTGTGGATGGAGCCCTTGACCAGAATCGAACCCGGGACCCCTCAGTCCACAGGCCGATGCTCTATCCACTGAGCCACACCGGCCAGGGCGACAATCCAGTCTTTACTGCTGCTCAATCTTGTCCTTCAAAGCCACAGCCCAGCAGCAGACGCCCTGACCTAGATCCGCGCCCCTGATGCGACCTCGTAAACGCCGTCCTCACCGACCAGGAGGTCAGGCGGCTGCGCCTGCAGCCCAGAGGGACCGCAGAGCCGCTGCCTCAGGCGGGCGCCCCTGCGGAGGGATGTCGTCGGCAGCAGCCACGCGCCTGACCCGCCTCTTTGAGGGGATAGGGCTCCTCCGGTCCAGGCCGGGACGGAACCTCCTGAAGGCAGTGCCCCCCGGCCGGCCACAGCCTCGTGCCCGGCCCGGAGCCGCGCCCACACTGCCCGCTCCGCGGAGCGCGCTGCCCGGTCCCCGGAGCGGCCGCCCTCATGGGCACGAGGACCGGTGGCCCGGCCCCAGGCAGGGACAGGGCTGACCGCTCCGCAGCGCCCCGGGCGCCCACACTCTCTCCTTCCCTCCGCCTCCGGCCGGCCTGCCTCTTCACGGTCCTGTCACTGCGAGCCGAGCCGTCATCGCCCGGGCGGGGAGCCTGCGTCCGCGGGGAGGCCGAGTCCGTGGGGAGGCTGAGGGGGAGGCCGTGTCCGCGGGGAGGCTGAGGGGGAGGCTGAGGGGGAGGCCGTGTCCGCGGGGAGGCTGAGGGGGAGGCCGTGTCCGCGGGGAGGCCGAGGGGGAGGCTGAGGGGGAGGCCGTGTCCGCGGGGAGGCTGAGGGGGAGGCTGTCTCCCAGCCTCTCTCCGCGCCGTGCGGGATGGGGGTGGGGGCCCTGCTCAGGAGCCGCTCTGTCCCCCTGAGCTGACCTGCTTTTGCTCCCTCCCAACGCGCTGGGGCAGCGGCTGCAATTACCCTGTGACTGTGCCCGCAGGGCGGCTCCCGGGCATCTGCCCTCCCGGCCGCCCTCTGGACGCGCCAGCTGCCCCCGCGGTGCGACTGCGGTGACGCCGGGAGCCCTGGCCGGTGTAATGACAGGGCAGCCGCACCGTGGGGCCCGCAAAGCCGCTCGTAAAGGCTCGGGGCGGGCAGTGCCGGGCGGGTGGGCAGGCGGGCAGGCGGGTGGGTGGGTGGGTGGGTGGGTGGGCGGGCGGGCTGTGCCGGGCGGGTGGGCAGGCGGGCAGGCGGGTGGGTGGGTGGGGCGGGTGGGTGGGTGGGTGGGTGGGCGGGCGGGTGGGTGGGTGGGCGGGCGGGCTGTGCTGGGCGGGTGTGTGGGCGGGCTGTACGGGGCGGGCGGGCAGGCGGGCGGGCGGGCTGTACAGGGCGGGTGGTCGGGCGGGTGTGTGGGCGGGCAGCGCTGGGCGGGTGTGTGGGCGGGCTGTACGGGGCGGGCGGGCAGGCGGGCGGGTAGGCGGTCAGTGCCTGGCGGGCTGTACGGGGCGGGTGGGTGGGCAGGCGGGCGGGTGGGTGGGCAGGCGGGCGGGTGGGTGGGTGGGCAGGCGGGCGGGCGGGTGTGTGGGCGGGCTGTACGGGGCGGGCAGTGCCGGGCGGGCTGTACGGGGCGGGTGGTCGGGCGGGTGGGTGGGTGGGCGGGCAGCGCTGGGCGGGTGTGTGGGCGGGCTGTACGGGGCGGGCGGGCAGGCGGGCGGGCAGGTGGGTGGGCGGGCAGTGCCGGGCGGGCTGTACGGGGCGGGCGGGCAGGCGGCACCGGGCGTTACCAGGGTGGCGGCTCCTGGCTGCGCGGCCGGCTGTGAAGCCGTGTGGTGTGATTTATTAGGGAAAAGGCGAGAGGGGGGGACACGAGGGAATGGACGTTCCTGTGTCCGCGACCAGGGCCCCACCCACAGGCGGGGGGGGCGGTGAGAGGGGTCCCTGAAGGGCAGTGGGGGCTGTGACCGCGGCTCTGCATGGCGAGCAGAGCTGAGGAGCAGCTGCTGGCGGGCACACATGTTCAGCGCCGTGTCGTGCCCATGTATGTGGTTCAGGTCCGTGTCATGCTCGTATGTCCAGGTCTGTGTCATGCTCGTTGTATGTCCAGGTCCGTGTCATGCTCACTGTATGTCCAGGTCCGTGTCATGCTCACTGTATGTCCAGGTCCGTGTCATGCTCACTGTATGTTCAGTGCCATGTCATGCTCACTGTGTGTTCAGGTCCGTGTCATGCTCACTGTGTGTTCAGGTCCGTGTCATGCTCGTTGTATGTCCAGGTCTGTGTCATGCTCACTGTATGTCCAGGTCCGTGTCATGCTCACTGTATGTCCAGGTCCGTGTCATGCTCACTGTATGTTCAGTGCCATGTCATGCTCACTGTGTGTTCAGGTCCGTGTCATGCTCACTGTATGTCCAGGTCCGTGTCATGCTCACTGTATGTCCAGGTTCGTGTCACGCTCACTGTATGTCCAGGTCTGTGTCATGCTCACTGTGTGTTCAGGTCTGTGTCATGCTCGTTGTATGTCCAGGTTTGTGTCATGCTCACTATATGTCCAGGTCCGTGTCATGCTCGTTGTATGTCCAGGTCCGTGTCATGCTCACTGTATGTTCAGTGCCATGTCATGTCATGCTCACTGTGTGTTCAGGTCCGTGTCATGCTCGTATGTCCAGGTCTGTG